CGACCTGTGATGCGCTTGGCCGTGACAGCCATCTCGTGCAGGCTGGCATCAGGCATGTCGGCGACCGTTAGTAGCCGAGCTTGCCACTCGCTCCACGAGGCCACGGTCGGGTCGGCAAAGGAAGCGAGAGGTACGTGCACGCTGTCTGGCTGGTCCCCTGCCAAGGCCGCACACGCCTCCGCGAGCTGCTGCTGCTGTATAGGTCCGTTGCCACGAGAACGATGCAAGCTGAGCTTGGTCAGTACTGTGGTAACCCTGCCCCACCAGGACGACACCTGATCATGAAGAGGCTGTTCCCGAACTTTGGACGGAGCTCTAACCTCGGTGACGGTGTACTTGGGCCCTGAGTCCCTGGAAGGCCCCGCTAGATTCGTCCCATGGTGAATACAGACGGTGCGCTCCAAAGCTTCGACCCAAGATCCATAAAGAGCTCCCAGACGTAGAATATGTGGTCCCCCAACCGCAAACGCCGCAGAGTTGGCAATGGCAGGAAGAACCTCCGAGGTGCCAGTGGAGTCCGTGTAGCCCACTTGTGCCCTGCAGGAGTCCCAGAGGTCAGAGGGGAGGAAAAAAGGCAGGCAGGGCACCGCCATGGGTGCTCGAGGGGACCTCGGGGGAGGCAGAACAACTGGGTGGGTCCCGAGACTCGTGGGGTGCGGTAAGCACACTCGATATGTCGTGAGACGGAGCCGCGCCCTCGGCCCCTTCGGGCCTGGGCGTGGCTGGAGGCGCAGCAGCCGCTGGGCTGCCAGCCTCGGGTTCGAAGAAACCTGGGGGCACGTAGTCGCCCTCGCCGTCCGACTCAGGCCAGTCGGCGGCAAGGGGACTGGCCTGCGCACTGGGCTCGCCCTCAGAGGAAGAAGCCGTCGCTGATGTAGACGCCGTCGCACCACCAGCAGAGCAGAGGTCTCCGAACATCTCATCCGTCGCCGTCGCCATCCTGTCCTGGGCCGCCCGTCGTGCCAGGGCGCGCTCCCCTCGGGCCATGGACGACTTGGAGCCCTCCTGCGGCTGGGTGGTAGGTCGAGGTACTTGTGGGAGTTGAGCTGCAAGCACCAGCTGCCGACACAACAGTTGAGACCCCGAACTTCTCAGCCGAAGTTGAAGCCCGCAATGCGGTCGCCAAGGCACTGACAAAACTGCACTCAAACCCACGATGCACGGTAACGCCGAATAACTGGCCACCACATAGTCCAGCGTGCTGCCCTTGCCCATGCCGCCCGCGCAGGTGAACTCCGTGTCGGCAGCGGTGAGGACGTTGGCACCCACACGATCTAAGAACCCAGCGTCGGCCAGGACGGGCGGTGGCAGGTTGAAGTCGCCTATGCAAATCCACGGCAGCTTCAGCTGCGAGACGAGGGCCCCCAGCTTGGCGAAACGCACCAAGCTCCTGCCGTGGAGGCCCTCGGAGCAGTAGCCGTAGAAAGCGATCAGCACGATGGAATACCCTTGCTGGTTGAGGATCACCACCGTGAACCCGTCCAGGGCGGCGCTGCCTTCGGCCTTGAGGTCGCGGCACACGGAGTCGGTGTCGTGGACCCTGTGGAACTGTAAATGCTGCCTCCCAAGGATCCACTCGCCGCCCTCATTGGCCCTATCCTTGGTGGCCTCAGACTGCTCGCGGCCCGTCCCACGAGCTGGATTGTCTATCAACTTGAGATGCGACTTGCGTGCCTGGCCCTTCCAGTGCTGCAAGTCGCTGGCGGACTCGATGTGAGTCTCAACTAACAGGAAGTAGTGATACGGAGTCGAAGCAGGCCCAGTGACGTAGTCCCAGGCCTGCTTCCCCATGGCAGTGACGTTAGAGAAAAATATGAATGTGCCACTCTGGCTCTTGGAGGTCGTGGCGACCTCAGTACCCCTAGGCAGGTCAGTCTGCGACGCAGACTCTCCCCGAGCGGTCTTCGACGTGGCTGCCTGCACACCCGCGCCGCCGCCCCTGCCCGTTCGTCACTTGCTGCTGCCAGCGGCCGCCGCCCCAGCGCCGCCAGCCGCCTCCTTCTTGGCCGCCTCGGATGCCTGCATGGCGGCAGCCTTGGAAGCGCTGATCTTGGCCGCAGCCTGCTGGATGCGGGCCTCGCGCGCCTCCCGAGCGGCTCTGGCTGCCTCGGGGTCGGCCGCGGCGGGGGCGGCGGCTGGGGGGGCGGCCGCCGCCGCACTGCCTGCGGCCGCGCCCGCTGCCGCGGCGGCGGTGGGTGGGGCGCTAGCAGCTGCAGCCGCCTGCGCACCACCACCTGCTGCCCCGACTGCTGAGGAGCCACTGTCGCCCTTGCGCTTCTTGGCCATCCTGTCGGTGAGCTGGCTCTGGAGCTCCTTGGCCCGCTGCAACCAGTCGCCCACCTGCGTGTTCTTGGTGGCCAGCTGGTCCTTCACTGCTTTGAGATCGGACTCCAGCTTCCGCAGCTCCTGAACTTCGGACTGCTCGGCCTCCATGCTGTCAAGATTGCGAAAGAAATCCTCGTCCCATGTAATCTGGAAAAACGTCTTGCTCTCGGCGCAGCCTTCACCTTCCTGGACCGTGACGCCCAGCTTGGCGGCGAGGGCCTGCGCGGCGAGCTTCTTCGAGTCCTCGGCTTGGGCGAGGACAAGTGCGGCCTGTCGCTCCTTCTCTTGAGCTTCCTCCAAAGCATCTCGACACTTGAGAAGTCGCGCCATGGCCTGGTCGTGCTTGGCGGACGCGTCGCGGACGGCGCCGTCTGCCAGTCGTAGTGCGTCCTCTGGAGGGACAGCAGACTGCCGAGCCCGCTTGTGCCTGAGGTCGTCGATCTGCGACTGGATCATCCTGCGAAGGGCGGGATCCTCCGTGCAGCTGAGCGCAGACTCCAGGGTCAAGATGGCCTTGTCCTCCGCCGAGAGAGAGTCGCTGGGCCCCTTCCCGACGACGGGGACCTTGCCCGCCTTGCCGTCCTTGGAGCTGCCCCCCTTGGCGGCGTAGAGGTCGACCTTTGCCCCGCAGCGACTGCACCTGCAGGCCTGCTTCTGCAGGACCCCGTTCCACTCGTGTGCGCCGCAGCCCTTGCAGGTAGACCACGGCGCTGAAACTCGCTGCTGCTTCCCAGGCATCCTGGGAGGGGTGCTGCCGTGGTGGTCCTGCAGACGAAGGAAGTCCCTCTCGCGCTGGAGCCGAGCTCTGGATGCCGCCCTCTGGCGCCGCGCCCTGCGGTGCCACACCGGTGAGCGGGACCGCCCAGCTATGGCGGCCGTCGTGCCCACTCCTGAGGCGAGAGAGAGAAAGTCGCCCCGCGGGGCTGGGGTCGTGGTCTGTCGGGCCGCTAGCCCAAAATGGGGCGCCTCGGACCACAACGCCTGAGAAGGAGGAGGAGGAGGCGGAGAAGGAGGAGGAGGAGGAGGAGAGGGCGGAAGAGGAGGGGCGAGGAGAGAGGAAAGCGGGGAGGTCGAGGCGGGGGGGGCACGGGATACGGGCGGGCCTGCCTTCAGACGGGCGGGGCAAAGATTGAGAGAAAGGGGGGCGGGGGAGAGAAGAAACGCTTGCAGGACGAACGAGGTGAGATAGAGGAAGAAAAACTGCATGAGCACAAGCTGGATGTCCGAGCAGGCGTATTGGATCGGCGCTGGACCTCCCTCCCTGACGCGCAGAAAACGCGCCAGATGCGGCGCCGAAGGCCAACGCCGATGCGAGGGATGCGCGCGTACCTCCGAGAGTTTGTGCAACTGCCGTGTTCTCTTCTTCGCGATGGGGACGCGAAGCGGGGCATAACCACCGCCTGGTGGGTCGGTCCCCGGGGACGCAGGCAAGCGGCGGACGTAACTATACTTGGCCGCGCCAAGGCCCGAAAACGTGTGTGTATATACACATGTGTACATATAGTCCGAATCCTATTCGTATTCCGACTCCGATTCCTATATTTTGATTACCCAAACCCCCCCACCCCCCCACCCCCCACACAAACCGGACCCCCCAGGGACGCCACGGACGCCTTTTCGGACGTTTCGGCGCCCCCTCTGGGCGCACTTGGAAAAGTTCCGCTGACCCTTCCGGGCCTCCCAGGGCGCCTTGCCGGGTCTGTTCCACGGTGGAGGCTTGAGACCTAAATTCCTCGATCGAGAGACAGGCAACGGATCTAGATTCGAAGTTCGACGATCGAAAATCTGCTGAGTGCCTGGAGCACTCCAGGCATTCAAGAAGCGACCAAACATCGATTTGTTCGGAGCTACTGCGACTTCTTCGGCATCTCATGAGAACGCTCCGTATTTCCTCGAAGGGCCTTCGCGCGTGAAGCAATCAGCATTCCTTCCCCACTCCTGCGCACAAGCGTGCAAGCGCATCGGGCGAACACGGCGTCAGCAGGAACCAGGGACATCAGAAAAATGGGCCCGTCGCCCACCCAGGCCTCGAGGCCCCCCCTGCTGAGGCAAGCGATGATTTTTTGTTTTGCCGGGGAAGCGTCCGGAACAAGGCGCATGGCGCGAAGCGCCACTGCATTCTTGTGTATATATATATATGTGTATATCTATATATACATATACACATATCCGGACTGTCCACAGCCTGCCGAAGTTCCCGCAGATCGGCCCCCCAGGCTATGATTTATGGACAAACTCTGGCCTCGGAGAGGAGGATGGGCAGCAGGGGGGCGCAGCCGAAGAAGGACGAGGCGGGCGAGGTAGCCCCAGCGAGGCCTGCGGCGCAGGTCGCCAAGGTGCGAGAGACGCGCAGAGGGCCCCGAGGCAGCACTGGTCGGTCGCGCGATGCAGAGGCCCAGGACGCCTGGTTGCCAGCAACACGACGTCGTCGTCGTCGTCAACGCCGTCGTCGCCAACGCCGTCGTCGTCCTCGCCGTCGTCGTCGTCGTCGTGATCGTCGCCGTGATCGTCGCCGTGATCGTCGTCGTGATCGTCGTCGTCGTCGTCGTCGCCGCAGTCGCCGTCGCCGTCATCACAGTCCACGTCGCCGTCGCCGTCGCCGTCGCCACTGCCGACGCCGCCGCCGCCGCCGCCAGGGGCGTGGCGGGCGCCCGCGAGGGGCGGGGGCGGCGCACCGCGAAGCGGAGCTGCGCCCCCGGGCCGGCGCAGCGGTCGTCCGCCCGGGAAGACACCTCGATGCTGAGGCCCCGGGGGGAGCAGGAGGCCTCCGCGTGGCTCGCGAGCTCCTGGCGCGCTCGCCGTCGCCGTCGTCGCCGTCGCCGTCGCCGCCGTCGCCGTCGCCGTCGCCGCCGCCGCCGCCGCCGCCGTCGCCGTCGCCGTCGCCGTCGCCGTCGCCGTCGCCGTCGCCGTCGCCGTCGCCGTCGTCGTCGTCGTCGCCGTCGTCGTCGTCGTCGTCGTCGTCGTCGTCGTCGTCGTCGTCGTCGTCGTCCGCGACGGGGCGGCATGGCCGATAGATCGCCGATAGGCCCCCGGTAGCGAGTCCACACTTTCCTTGGCGGGCTGGGGCTATCAGACCCCCATCGGCGAGCAGTGGGGGACCGGGGGTCGAGGCGCTCCCCCTGGGGGTCGAAGGCGGAAACCTCGACCGGGAAATCGGCGAGGCATCGCCGAGATCGGGGGGCGCACTGGCCCGGGTCAGTGCGCACCCGGGCCAGTCTCTGCAGGCCCCTGCAGGACTAAAACAGGGCCAGGATCGGGATGAATCGCTCCAGAGCGTTCCAGAGCGCTCTCAGAGCGTTCCGGGACGCTCTGGAGCGGCCGCGGCGCCCAACACATCCTCCAAACCCGCCGATCCTCAGAGATTTCGAATTATCCCGATCCGATTTTGTCCCGATCTTCGCGTCGTTTTAGGGACCCTGCAGGCTCCTGCGCGCTCGCCTGGGCCAGTGCAGCCCTGGCTCTGCAGGGCCCTGCCGGTTTTCTGGCTCTCTGGCCGGCCTCCCGTGGCACCGGCCCCCGCCGCCAGGCCCCCGACGAGGGATCGGCAACGGGCCCCCGCCAGCGAGTCCGCACGCTCCTGGGCGGGATGGGGCTATGATGGGCGATTGGGAGGAGGAGGAGGAGGAGGAGGAGGAGGAGGAGGAGGAGGAGGAGGAGGAGGAGGAGGAGGAGGAGGAGGAGGAGGAGGAGGAGGGAGGAGGGAGCCTCCCCCCGCGCGTAGTTCCCCCCTGACTTGAGCAGGGACCGACCGTCCCAGCACTCCTATAGTCCTACAACGGCATGTTCTTGGAACCCCAAAATTTTCGAAGAACAGAAGCAATGTCCTTAGAACATAAGCCCCAGGTGTTAAAACAAGGCAACGTCCGCCAGAAATGTTCTAAGAACATGTCGTGGAAACCACAAAAAAAAGCCCTTAGAACATTGTTTGGTAGGGCTATAGGCGAGCCAGGACGCTTCGCCACTGCTTGACTGACGCTTCTCGTGGTGGTCTTCAGGCCCCGGTTCGGCTCCCAAGCGGCCGTTCGAGACGACCCGGGCAGCCCCGGGAACGCCCTCGGCGAGGCGCGGCTCAGGGAGGGCATCCCGAGGCTGGAGAGCCGACGGGAACCGACGGAACCGTCCAAAGTATCCCGGCCCGAGGCTGGAAAGCCGACTGGAAAAGACGAAATCGCCCACAAACCTGAAACCTCGATCTCCCCGAGCCCTTCCCCCACCCCCCCTGTCGCTGGTCCTGGACCTATCCCCCCCCCCTCCCCCCATCGTTGCCCCCCGGCCGCCGCCGTCCGCCCCGACGGAGGGGCGGGGTGGTGGGGATCGCACGAGGCCTCCTAGTTCGGGTGTTGCCAGGAGTGCCCCCTAGCCCCAGGTGCCCCCAAGATTTCCAAGGAGGCCCTCCCGGCCTCCAGAGCACAGCTCACGAGGCCCAGAGGGCCCCCATCGGGGCTCCAGCATGCATCAGGTCGGGCACGTGCTCCTGCAGAGGGGTTCTGGAGGCCAAGTGCAAAAAATAGGCAAACAGATCCACTGAGAGTCAAACAGCAATCACCAAAAATCGCCCCCAGAGCATTCTTTGTTAATTTCGGCAGCTTCCTCCTGAAGAGGGACATGCCCGACTTCAGCCACGCAGCGCACAGCCGGGGCCACCCTGGGCCCCGCGAGCCCCCGGGGCGCGCCCCGCCGTGCCCCGGAGCGTGGAGCGCCGCAGCTCCGCCACGACGGGCGACCTCAAGCCCCGCGTCGAGCGCTGCGGGGGGCCCGTTCGCGCGCCTGGTCCGGCTCGAAAGGTGCCGCGCGCGTCGAGCAACGGGGGGGCGATCAAGGGGGCCTCTCCCTCCTCCCTCCTCCCTCCTCCCTCCTCGCTCCTCCCTCCTCCCTCCTCCCTCCTCCCTCCTCCCTTCCTTCCTTCCTTCCGACCGCTTCACGCGCGCCCTCGGGTCGGGCGGCGCGGCCGGCCGGGCCCCGCGGCGCGGCCCTCAAACATCGCGGGCTATGCCCACGGACCCCCCCTCCCTCGGGGCCGGGGGCCAGTCGGCTAGCGCCCGACGCCTGAGCGGGGGGCGCCCCACCTTGGGCCCCCCAGGGAGGGGTTGCCCGACGGCCCCCCCAGGTCATGGCGGAGTGCCGCGCGGGCAGGACCCCCGGCAGCCCCGCCGGGGGAGGCTGGGTTGCTGCCGGTGGGTACTCGGCCCGGTGCGGAAGGGCGACGATTGGACCGTTTCCAGATGGGCCAACGAACCGCAACGGGGGCGGGGGCCGGACGAACAAGGAACGGGGGAAGCGCAGGGCCCGGGGGCAGCGGGAGGGGGGAGCAGGGGGGGGGAGGCGAAGGCGAGGGAGAGGAGGGAGGGGAGGGGAGGGCGCACCCAAGGGAGGGCCGGGGGGCGACAGGGCCGAGGGGCGACGGGCCGGGGGAGGCCCCAAAAGGGGGACCCAGGGCCCAGGGCGCAGGGGCCAGAACGGGGCCCAGGGGGTTCCTCGGGCCCGCGCCCTTCCGCTCCGGCTTAGTTCCTCGCGCTGCCGATCTGCGCCGCGGCCTGCGCGACCACGGCGCGCCGCAGCGGAGCGGCGCCCAGGGGGCCACGGCCAGCGTCGCCTGCCCGCTCAGACGCCCCGGGGCCGCCGGGGAGCCGCCGTCTCGAGGAGGTGTGCCTCCCTGGGCGTAAGGCCCGCCGCCGCGGCCGGTGTCTGGGGCTGGGGTTGGCGCCCGAGCGTTCCTGCGGCTCGGCTGCAGAACCCCAAGAGGTGGGTCGTCGTCTCCTGGGATTGGCTGCAGAACCGGCAGGGCGGCACCGTCCCCGCGGCGTCCCGCACGAGCGCGCCCTGGAGGCACAGGCGCGCCCACGCGCGGACTTCAGGGAGCGAGGCGCCAGCCGCGCTATGCTGGAGCGCCGTGGGGCCCGCTCCCGCCGCGCGCGCCAGCGCGTCCCGCTGGGCAGGGTCCGCGCGCCAAGAGTGCTCCTGCGCGTGCGCCGCCGCTCGGACCTGGCGGCGGTACTGCGCGCGGGCCCCGACCCCCGCTTGGGGCCCGGGCGGGTCCGGGAGGTGCCACCGGACAAGCAGCTGCCGGACGTGCTGCACCCAGGAGCCCGCGGCCTGCTCCGCGAGCGCGAGGACCTCCCGGGCCTCCACGTACCTGGGGTCCGCGAGCACTCGGCCGTACAGGCGGATCGCGCGCTCCTCCATCATCGTGGACCATCGGAGCGCCCATCCCATATGGTGGAGAATGAGGACGCGCGGGATGGGCCCGCGAACACCCAGAGCATCTCGGCCCCACCGCTCTTGGAGGCGGTTTAGGGTCGTCGCGAACCCCTCCGCGCGGGCGCACAGCTCGGCTCCATGCGCCACCTTCGGGAGCGTGCTGGCAGTCAGGCCTAGGCTCAGCTCGTGGAGCGCGAAGCCGAGGTTCTCCATGATCATGGTGTGCTTTCGCCCGACTCCGAGCGCCTGCCGCTCGATTGCCCGGAGGTGCGCCTGCCCGGGTGGCGCGGCCGATCGCTGGACGCCGAGGCACCTGTACTCGTCCACGAACCCGACCCCGTGAATGGGCCGCGTGTCTGGTAGCCCCCTGGCGAGGATGGCCGTCTTCGTCGGCCCGTACCGGAGGTGGCCTCGGTGGCGCCGCGCGGCGCTCTGGAGCGCCTGGACAATGAGGCCACACTGCGCCCTCGACCCGGCCTTGGCTCGGACATCGTCCACGAATGCCCGCGGCCCGATCCGCTTCTGGGAGAAATGATCGAGGAGGCCCAGCCGGACCGCGTCTGTGGACGCGCCCGCCATGCAGGCGTCCCAGTCTGCATGCCCGTCCGTGATGAGGGCTGCCCACTGGTCGATCTCCTGGACGTCCAAGGTCTCTGCGTCCGTGCCGTCGCGGTGCACCCGGTATGCCGCCAGCGCCGCCGGTGGCGGGTCCAGGCCAAGGCCCACGCCGGGCGTGGCCGCGACCTCCTCAATCTTGGCCGCGTTGGCGAGGCTGCACTGGGCCGGGCTTAGCGCTCTGCCTTCGGGCATGCCGACCTGCGGCCTGAACGGCCGCGTTCGCTCACCTCGCCCCGTGACCGAGACGGTAGTGCCTCGGAGCATCGCCTCGGCTATGAGCCACTGTCTCCCGGCCACTCCCGCCCGGTCGTGCATGGCTACCATGGCCTCCGTGCGGTCCTGGCTGTCGAAGGCCTCCGCTTCGTCTGCGAACACTTCCGCGATCGGCCTCCCCTGGTGGACACAGATGGCGGAGACCTCCAGGTCCAGGAGGCTGGAGACCAGGCTGTCGCCCCCCGCTTCTTGGAGTTCGCCGAGCCCCCGCTCCATCGCCCGGCGGTTGCGCCCGGCCCACAGCTCCTCCAGGAGGCGGCCCTCCGCGGAGCACAGCGCGAGGACCCTATAGCCGCTGTAGTCCACGTGGGGCCGGCCCTCCTTGCGCTTGTGGTAGTTGTCCTGTAGGAGCCAGAGGGCGGGGACCTGGCCCAGGCGGAAACTGAGGCTGGACAGGCCCAGCAGTGCCTGCACGGCGCCCAGGTGCGCACTGTGGAGGAGGGCGTAGGGCAAGCCGCGGCACTGGGCCCCGACCCGGATCCTCCGTAGGGCGGCGCCGGCGTCAGCGAGCGTGAAAGCCTCCGCCACCTCCCAGTGACCCAGGGCGCGGAGGGCCTCCGAGCGCTGGCGTTCCAGGCGGCCTCGCATCGCGGCCGCGTGGTCGGCGTCCCACTCCTGGCCCCACGGGGGGTTGTCGCGCCTAAGAATGTATCTGCGGGCCCCGTCCAAGACCTGCGGCGTCCCGATGCACATGCGGCTCTCGTCCTCCGGGTCCCGCATGACGGCTGGGAGGCCCTCGGGGGGGTCCGTGGAGTATTGCTTGAGGACCGTGGCCGCCGCAAGCGGGTTCTCGCCCATGAGGCTGACCAGGCGGCGCCGCGCTTCCTCCCGCTGGGCACGGCCCCTGGCGGCCCGCTCGCCACGCAGTCGCGCCTGGGCTGCCCGCAGGGCCGCCTGCGTCTCGGGGGCCCGAGCGCGTTGGTGCCGGGCGGCTGCGTCGGTAACCTCCCGGAATGCTGCTGCCTCCGCCCTGTCTGCGCCGTGCCGGCTGCGGCCGCCCGCCGCGGGGGCCCAGGCGAGCGCGGCTGCCGCTGCGACCAGGGTGGCCGTCGCCCGCCATGTCCACGCCGCCGCGTCCAGCGCGGCCCTGGCGTCCCGCTGCGGCGCGTCGAGCCAGGAGGGTTCGTTGGTGCGGGCCGCCAGCTCGCTGCTGAGGGTGTCGTAGATGGCGTCCCCCCACTGCGCGAGTGCCCTGTGCCAGTCCTCGGGGTTCCTGCTGTACCTGAGCTGCTTCTCCGGGGGGGCCGCGCCGTCGGCCGCCGACGCAGCCGTCCATGTGACCGGGTGGTGGTCGAGGTCCTGGGAGCCGAGCGCTAGCGCGCGCACCCGGCACACGCCGCTGCTGCAGCCGTGCTTCTCACAATGGGCCCCGTCGTGCACGCTAACTGCCCCGCAGTTGGTCGTCGCCGGGCTAAGCACCACGTCCAGCCGCCGCCCACGGACATGGGTGGCGACCGTCTCCGGGATCATGTGGCGGAGGCCCCGCTGGTCCATGGCCGCGACCACATGGGCCTCGATGTCGCTCCCCGGGTTGAGGTCCCCCGCCATGTGGATGCGTCCGCCGTGGTGGCGGCGGCCGGCGGTCTCCTGGGCCCGGTCGTATTCCCTGAACAAGCGGCCCACGCACTCCGCCCGGGCGCCCTCGTTGACGCCGCGCTGCCGGGGCGGGATGCTGAACCCGCACCAGTACCCTCCTCCTCCTCCTCCTCCTCCTCCTCCTCCTCCTCCGCCTCCTCCTCCTCCTCCTCCTCCTCACCTCCTCCTCCCTCCCCCTCCTCCTCCTGCCTCCTCCTCCTCTCCTCCATCCTCCCTCCTCTCCTCCTCCCTCCTCCCTCCTCCCTCCTGCCTCCTCCCTCCTCCCTCCTCCTCCTCCTCCTCCTCCTCCTCCTTCTCCTCCTCCCTCTTCCCTCGGGGGGAGAGAGAAACCCAGATCCCCTCGAGCGGTGGGAAGATCACGACGGGAGGCGTTGTCGTGCTTTGCGGCCTCTGCGGGGGGCCCTCACCAGCCCTCGAGGCCGTCAAGAAACGACTCGGGATGAGCAGCCGGTCCCGGGGAAGGGGTCGGGGGTCGAGGCCTCTGGGCGGCGGCGCTGTGAAAAATCGTGGCGTCGGGGACTGGGAACGTGCCCTTGTTGGGCCCCTGCTGGGCCGCAGGGGGGCCCCTTCAGGCCCCCCCCGCCTGCGGGCACAAGAAGGTGCACCTCTCCGCCCACCCCCCATCTGGAATAACAAAAACACACGGGCCTAAACTCTGCGCGCTCCGCGCGGATTCCTTGGATCCGCGCTGGACCCCCCTCCCTGGCGCGCGGAGCGCGCCGGGGGCGGCGCCGGAGGGGGGCCCCGCGCGGATCCAAGAGATCCGCGCGTAGCGCCAAAGGTTTCTGCTGATGGCGTCTTCTCTTGAGCAGGGACCGACCGTCCCGGCATTCCTGTAGTCCTACGGCGAAATGCTCTTAGAACCCAAACCTGTTCTCTGAACAGAAACCGTGTTCTTAGAGCATAAGCCCGATGTGTGAAGACAAGACAGCCCCAGCCAAAGATGTTCTAAGAACACCTCGCGGAAGCCACAAAAAGGTTCTCAGGACACTGTTTGGTGGGGCTATATAGGCGAGCCGGGACGCTTCGCCACTGCTTGACTCTCTTCTTCGACCACCTGCGGGTGCCGCCCGCCGCGCCCCCGCCGCGCCTCCAGCGCCGCGGCCGCCTGGCCCGGCAGCGGCTCCGCGGGGGGGGGGCCGTCGCCCCGCAGGTGCAGGATGAGGTAGCTGGCGGTCCTGCGGGCCGCGCGGGGGGGGCGGAGGGGCGCGGAGCGCGAGGTCCTGGCTCCGGGCGCGAAGGCATGGGGGTGGCGATGCACGAGGGGGGGAGGGGGAGGAGGAGGAGGAGGAGGAGGAGGAGGAGGAGGAGGAGGAGGAGGAGGAGGAGGAGGAGGAGGCGGAGGGAGAAGGAGGAGGAGGATGAGGAGGATGAGGAGGAAGAAGGAGGAGGAGGACTGCGGCGCGTGGAGCTCAGACACTGTCCGCGCCACCCAGACCCCCGACGTCATGATTTTTGCTGGTGACGTGGACCCCAGCGGTCTGGACCCC